GTTTACTACTTCGTTATGGCAGCCCTAGAAAACACAGGCATTCTCCTGGCCCTCAAGAGGGGACAGATAAGTAAACAGAGAAATAGTTTGGTGAGAAGGATATGGTGAAGCAAATTTTGCATATTATCAACTCAGCAGAATTTATGCGGCGACCAAAATGATAATTATAGAGAGCATGTAACAACCTGAAAAAATGTTTATAAAAAACATTAAGTGAAAAGGCAAAACACAGCAACATAGCTATTCTACGATTACTATAAAAGATGGTTTATTAATAGACAAAAAATAGAAGAAAACTTGGAAAAACAGTTTTTTGCTGAGGTGAATCCTTGATGAACTTTCATTTTTTAGTTCTTTATCGCTGTTATAATAGCAATGATGCAATAAATTTTTAAATATTTAATTTTACTGATACATTCTCCCTTTTTTTCTTTTTTCCTTCACATTTTGGTTTAGTTCAAGTTTCTGCTTTTGAGAAAGTTATTCCTGAAAGGGAATTCAAAAAGATTTTATGAGCCTAAAGATTGTACAGAACACAGAGATGTACAATATATATCTTTTTAAATTCGTGACTATGTTTTCTTCATATAAATACCCAGAAGTGGAATTGCTAGATCATATGATAGTTCTATTTTTAAGTTTCTGAAGAACCTCCATACCATTTTCCATAATGGCTGCACCGATTTACATTCCCACCAACAGTGCACTAGGATTCCCTTTTCTCCACACCCTCACCGACACTTGTTATTTCTTGTATTTTTGTTAAGAGCCATTCTGACAGGTGTGAGGTGGTATCTCACTGTGGTTTTGATTTGCATTTCCCTGATGATTAGTGATGTTGAGCATCTTTTCATGTGCCTGTTGACCATCTGTATGCCTTCTTTGGAAAAATGTTTATTCAGATCTTCTGCCCACTTTTTTTTTTTTTTTGGCGGTACACGGGCCTTTCACTGCTGTGGCCTCTCCCGCTGCGGAGCACAGGCTCCGGACGCGCAAGCCCAGCGGCCGTGGCTCACAGGCCCAGCCGCTCCGCGGCATGTGGGATCCTCCCAGACCGGGGCACGAACCCGTGTCTCCTGCATTGGCAGGCAGACTCTCAACCACTGCGCCACCAGGGGAAGCCCCCTGCCCATTTTTTTTCATTGGATTGTTTGGGGGGTTTTAGTATTGAGTTGCGTATGTTCTTTGTATATTTTGAATATTAGCCCCTTTAGCAGAAATAGCCACTAAAAATAAGTAAGGACTTAAGGAAAATGGCACACTTGATTCTGTATTCGAAAAATAATGATCTAAAATGAGATTATAGAGCCTTGCCTGGCTATAAGCCTCAAGATCCAGCTCATTTATAAAAATATCCAGGGCTTCCCTGGTGGCGCACTGGTTGAGAATCCGCCTGCCGATGCAGGGGACGCAGGTTTGTGCCCTGGTCCGGGAAGATCCCACATGCCGCGGAGCGGCTGGGCCCGTGAGCCATGGCCGCTGAGCCTGCGCGTCCATAGCCTGTGCTCTGCAACGGAGAGGCCACAACAGTGAGAGGCCCACGTACTGAAAAAAAAATATATATATATCCAAAGAAGAATTTGCCAAAGTAAAAGTGAGGACAAATGAGGTGAGCAGAAGATATAGTTCTCCATCCCTTGAGGCAGCCAGAAGGGCCAGGGCCCAGGCAGCTCCATTCAGGGCTCACACACCTGGCCAGGCCCCTTACAGCAGAAAGGTGAAGCACAGCACACAGAGCCTGAGTGCCCAGCCTGGAAAAGAGCACGTATTTTCACAACAGACTTCCACACAAAGGCCACTGCATTCCTGACAGCAGTACAGCAAAATCTGTCATGTCTCTCAGTAACTTTTGTGTGGGGCAGGGCATAGCATGGAAAAGTTAACAAGGTGAAAACAGCTGCCCTAAAGCTGCACTGGATGTTAATCAAACCTCCTAAAGAGCAGGAAGGCTTATATCCAGGACCTTAATTTGCCCCCTAGGCCCCTGTTTTTACCTTGATTTAGCAGTTCTCACTATAGCAATTTGTCGTCCTCATCCCACACAGGCCCCAAGCCTGGGATTCTGCTGCTCCTACAGGCTTGCCTTTGGTAGCCCCTCAAGTAGAAAAGCTCCCCAGGAAGGAGATAGAGTTTTATTTTTATCCCAGTTAAAGTCCCTATCCAATCCATTAATAGCTACAATAACCTTGGTCCAAGGCATTTCCTGGAGAATCTATAACCAGCTGGGGTTAATGAACTCTCCCTACCATTAATTCCTGGGAGAGGCCATTGGCCTGCATGGTTACTTAATTACTCTTCTGTGTACAGCTTCATAAAGCAATGAAATGCCTTCTTTCAGGAAGAAGGGAGATGGTAATGGGGGTCATCAGAGGCCATTAATTTTACAAATAGTTTGTTGGAAACTACAGTATGTTAAGAAGTCACTCTGGCCCACAAATCAACTCAATGCGGTCCTTATTAAGTTGAGATCTAAACCTTCCCAGGTTTCCATGATTCACACACATAAAGTTAACAAGTGGTGCAGAATCTGGCCAAAATGTACATACTCAGGTATGCAGAAACATATTCTTTATATTCTGCAAATGATCTTATCTTCCCCTCTAGCTCTGATTCCTTAAGTTGGAAGAAAAGACTCAGTGGGGCCAATTCAAGACACCATAGACTTTTCCCAGTTAAAAATCTCTTTCAGGTAATTTCTCAGTCTTAGGGAGATTCTCCCTCTCCAGAGCTCTCCTCTTTCCCAGGATATTGGCAGGTGCAGGGAAAAACTACATATACTTAAGGAGGGTTGAAGGAGGAGCTTTGGGTCTTCATGGCTCCTCTTGCTGCTCCTGGGTCTGCTGGCCTTTCAGGCTGTATGCTGGCCCATGCTGCTTGTGCTATCCCTCCCCCCAGCACACACACACACGCCCTAGAATGTAAACCCCATGAGGGCAGGTGTCTTGGCTGTTTTGTTTACTCTGTCTCCCTAATGCTTAGAACAGTGCCTGGCATACACAGGAGCTCCTTCAATGTTTCAGTGTTTGTTCAATGAATGAGTAGTTAGTTGGCTACACGATGGGATTAGACTGCTGGCCTTAGGAATCAGACTTTCCATATTAGTCACATTTTGAAGCAAGGGAGCACAATCTGCCAGAGAAATAAAAGACAGGGGCTACCCCTTCATACTGCCCAGAAATCAGATCCATTAAACTACTGCTGCCAAAGGGAAGACGTGACCATGAAACACACACAACCATCTAGGGTCTGAAGTCTCCATAGATGATGAGAAACCGTTGCCACCCACCCTACTGTGACATGCTGCCCCCCATGTCAATAGCAGGGTCATGACACCTCAGAAGGTTCTGAGATTCTACTGGACAGTTCCACTGGGGAAAGATTAGACTCTTCAGAAGCTAACTGCCTAGAGCAGAATCAGGAAGACCATACACATCAGAAGAGAGGTGGAGTTTAAGGAAGTAATGGATTTAAAGAGGAAACCAAAGGGGCAGAGCAAGCCAAATTTACTTCTGCTTGGTTTTTCTGAGCCCTGTTTAATACTAAGATCTTAATATCTGGAGATTCTTACAGAGGCCAGGCTAGAGAGCCGAGAGATTACTTTTCAGAGAAGTTGTACACCTACACCCAGGCCCATGGGCCCTTTAGGAAAGCAAGTGGCCCTAGAGTAGAAAGGGACTTAAGAACAATTGATAGCCTCTATTGATTCTTATTGCTGTGTATGAATTCCAAAGGGTTTTGTGTTGGTGAACTATCTCTGAATATACCTGCTAGCAGGATATATACTGAAATTTCCAGCATTATCCCTGTATCCTCACTGTATCCTTACTGAGGCATAATCAGAACATGAGCAGAAAGCCAAAAGGCTGAATTTTGTCATGGCCAAAATGTGAAGTTGGAGGGAAGAGACCAGTTCTGTTTCTATATCTGGGGGCTCTTGGCTAGTTACTCTACTTCACAAATGACTCACTTCCCCAACTCATTAGATACATCTCTGCTGATATTTTAGGGAATCTACAATGGAAGAACACAAGGAAGATCAACTAGATGATGAGTAAGTAATCATGATTAGGCAAAGCCACATCCAAGGGCCAAGGTATGAAGCAGGTCTGCTGTAGATGTCTTCCTTCATCTTCTAGTCTCCCTCTCTCTCTCCATCTACTATCTATCCCTCCCCCATTGCACTCCACCTCAAGCCCTTCATGCCCTCCTGAAGTGATAGCTATTATAAAGTCTTCTTTTCCAAAATCATCCCTCATCCTTACTCAAAAGTCTGCCTCACTAACTTATTTATGGTTAATCATTTGAAAAGCAAACTAATTAATGATACAAGAAAAAGAAAAGTTTATTGAGAGCTTCCATGTGCCAGGTACCCTTTCTAGATGACTCTAGTGTTACCCTTATTTTATTCAAATTTACTTAAAAAAGATTTTTGAATTCTTGAAAGTGAATGCCTGGATCATATCTGTGTGCTCAATGAAGTGACTCTCATGATAGATACTCAAGCTTTGTAGCAGGCACTGTAAGAGAAGTTTTGAGATGGGAGAAGGAAGGGAAAGACTGAAGCCCTACCTGCTGGTGGAAATCTCTTGTGGCTCTGCATAAAGCTGGGCTCAATCATAAGGAATGTGCCAGCTACCTGGATAAAAGTACTCAATAAAAGTGTATTGCATGAGCAGATTTTTTGAACAACTTGTCTTAGAAACCAATGCAGGACACTATTTAAGGAAGCAAGACTTCTGGAACCAGAGTGGAGGTGCACTAGTATATTGAGCACTTTGGCTGAGAAAGCCTGAGAAAAACCTCTCTTGCTGACCAAGTTGAGAATTATTGAAACAAACTGTAGAGCATGATTAAGAAATGTAATTTCCTAAGAATGAAAAAGGACAGATGTGCTTCCAGAAACAGCCAGGTTAATGAATTACGTGCCTTCTAGATAACCCATTTAGTCCAAAGATTACTGATCTTAAGATAACTGGCCCTTGTTCAATTTGGGGACTGAGTCTACAGGTCAGAGAAAGTGGAAATCTTAAGACTGGCCCAGTCAAAGAGGAACATTAACAGTTTGAATATGGACCTTGAAAGGGATATGCAGAGAATTGATGAAGCAAATCAGGACCTTCTTCTCAAAATCCACAAGAAAGAAGAAGAGATTCAGAGGTGAGTGTTGGGGTTCCATGAGGGAAGTTCTCCATCCAGAGGATGGGGTAGAAGAGAAGAGACAACACTAAATTTTCCTGTTTGTTCTAGAGACCTAATTCTTGTACAGCAAAGTTTCTTCTTCATTCTCTGGCATTTCTCTGTGGCTCAAACTCTGAAATACAGCAAGTTTTAAAGAGATTCCTAAAAAAATTGAGTGATACCTGAGCTGAAAGAACATTGGGGTGTTTGACTTGGGAATCAGAGGAATCTTACTTTTCCTGCCTTGAAAGTGATTCTGAGTCTAAGGATCCAGGAAAGAATGGTTTCCGACTTGAGATTCGTGTTTATTGTCACTGAGGTTCCCTTGAAACTGATATTTGTGTTTTATCGGTTCTGAAACTGCCAGATCCTCAGAGTGTGTGCTTGCGTCATCTAGGCTGGAAAATGAGATCACTCAGACCAGAGACCTGGCACAGGGTGAGGAGTGGGGGAAGGAGAACCGCACCACGATGGAAACGGAAAGAGCCTTGCAGGCGCTAGAAGAAGAAACAGCCAGACTGGTAAGCAAGAAGCTGGGAAGAGCTGTACGATAGGTTTTATTCATCATCCTGTCTCTCATCAACTATCAGATAAGCTAGTCTCTCCTTTTTACATACAACTAGCAGTCAACTCAAAAGTCATGGCAAGGGCTTCCCTGGTGGCGCAGTGGTTGAGAGTCCGCCTGCCGATGCAGGGGACACGGGTTCGTGCCCCGATCTGGGAAGATCCCACATGCCGTGGAGCGGCTGGGCCCGTGAGCCATGGCTGCTGAGCCTGCGCATCCGGAGCCTGTGCTCCGCAACGGGAGAGGCCACAACAGTGAGAGGCCTGCGTACCGCAAAAAAAAAAAAAAAAAAAAAGTCATGGCAGGATGTGTCCATGCATGGAAAGGGATGTGTGGAGGGTAGGGTTTCTTTGGTAATACTTAGTATTGGGAAGCCCTGCGTGTGGGCATCTCTATCCCTGTTAAGTTGGTGTGTATGTATTGAGATCAAACCACAGGTTCTTTACCTGACCTTATACAATAAGGTAGAGTTCCTGCAGGAAATCATCACTGGAGCGAAATGGAGAACAATCAACTAAATAAAGACGGATGATGGTATGCAGATGCACACTTACACTCTGCTTCTTTCTCTCAACAGGAAAGGAAGAATGAGACTCTGGTCCACAGTATAGCAGAACTTGAAAGAAAGGTGGGATGGGGCTTTTGTGTTCCCCAGTGTTCCCACAGAATCCCCAGGCACCAAAGAGGCAAGGGAGCAAAAGTGGTCATAGGGGATCCCACATGTTAGAGAGGCCTGTGCTGGGGTGGATACTACTCTCCTGAGGCTGAGCTTCATGACCTAAATAAATGCCATGGATCTTCCCTGCAAGTATCAGATGGACAGAGGGAGTGGGTTATTCAGGGTATTCAGTGATCCCATAGGTTCCTTCATTCTATTACAAGAAAAGGGATTCCAGTAGACACTCTGTTAAAGTGATTGGCTGGCAGCTCTGTAGTGAGAGTTAATTTTACTTTCAACAGAGACTTAAAAATACTTAATTCCTAAGGATTCCCTCTTCCTTGTCTAGGCATTCCCTCTACCTCAACTCCTGCTCAGAATACAGTGGGCTTCCTATGATACCCTACTTTCTGACCCATTCCTGAATAACCCAGCATGGATGAGGGGTTCAGAAAAGTACCCCTGCCTTGAGCAGGCTCCAGCTTTGGTGGCCAAGACTAGTGAGAAGAAGTTAGAGGTAGAATAAAGATGTCTCCAAGAGCACCGAGTATCCACCAAAGGACCACCTCCTGGCAGCTTTTATCAAGACCAAATTACCAGCCCACACACACACCAGAGAATGTCTTTGTTTTCTTTATTTTTTTTATTTGATGTATTTTTTATTTGCAATGTGTTTTTTTATTTGAAACTGTAGCTTACAAGGAAATCTCAAAAGGCAACTAAGTGTGAACAAGGCAATCTAAAGGGAACCCCAGAAGAGTCAAAGGTAAATGGAAAAGCAATCTTGAATGAGTGTGGACTATGTGAACAGGAAACAAGCTTTCAAGTGGAAACAACTGTCAAAGTTGGGATAAATTCTTTGTAGTTTTACCCATGTCAGGCATAAGCCTGGGCCACTGAGTACTGACATTTCCTCTGCTCTTAGTAAGGAATTTTACTCTGAAGCCATATATTTTGTTCTTTCTTCCATGAGGAAGAGCAGAACACAAATGCATATATAACACTGGAGGCAGCTGAAGTCCCTAATTTAAATCCTGTCCCCAGTACTTAGTGTGGTATATGAAGGGCAATTTAATCAGTCCCTCCCAGCCTCCGTTTGAAAATTGAGTGAAATTGTGTATATAAAGTATTCTTTCCTTTTTTTGGAGAGCTAAAACCTGAAGTCACATAATTTTAAAGTGACTATTTAAGAGTGTGGCTAAGGCATATGTATGAATTCATAGAGGCAGAGCTAGGATCTGTAACTCTACTGCATGCTAGGCAACTTACACATCCTGTCATGGAATCCAATCTAGAAAAGAAATCATTAAGTTGGTCATTCAAGTATCTAGTGAGTTCTGCATGCTAAGTGCATCAGACAGTGCTTAGCATTTCTCTAATTGTGTTCCAGAGCTAAGAACCTGGACACAACCACAACACATCCGATCAAAGATGCAAGAAGAATTAGAGACTTACTTTTTTTATTTAGAGAACAGGTAAAATTCTAACTTGATACTTTCTGTAGAATTACATCTTTATCCTTGCCTTAATTTTTCTTTCGCTTATTAAGCACACACTTAAGCCCATACTGTGTATATGAAGCCTATGACGATATGGACACACTGAAAATAGAAATATAAAAAGAAAGAATAGAGAATCACTCTCCTATCTTCTCTTGGCCAAATTAGTGTTGATGGCCACAAAAAAAAAAAAAAAAGAAGAAGAAGAAGACGACGTTTAAGGCCACCAAGTAAGCTTGCTTAGTCGTGCACATCCAGGAAATTTACCTGGAAAGAAAGAAATCTGGATCCTGTGTGTACATCAGGAAGAAAGTGAAGTTAAGACTAGAAAGGATTATGAAGCCCCATGACTATCCTTACCATATAACTGCAGCAGTCAGAGACTGATTTTTCTTCCTTCTCCTGCCCAAAACAAGTTTTCCTGACAGTAAGGCCACCAGAATCTAGTGGGGACACTTTAATGCTGGCTATGTCAGATGAGCTGAGCTGACAGACTATAGAGTTCCAGGTGTTGCCAGAACAATGGCCATTATTTTCCTAGCAGCAACCAGCCCAGCCCTAAAGAGTTCCAGAGTATTATTAACCCTCTGAATCACTCCCTTTTGCCCACCTGTTTTGTAGAATTCTTAGGTGATATCTCTAATTCTAGGAAATATACAGCATCTCCTTTGCTTCTGTTCCCGTTGCATGCTGGTGATTAGTTCAGTAGTTTAATGGGATGCCTGCTTCAACTCCTTGTGACTCAGGCCACTGTCTTGAAAATATAGCCTTTAGCACATTTTTCTTTCTGGCCCTGGTTGTAACTGACTGGAGGGGAAAGGAACTGTTAGAAGCATCCAGATGTAAAATAATGATCCCTAGATGAAAGTGGGAACAACAGAGCTGAAAGGGAAGGAAGGGAAAATACAGTTATATCTTCTCTTCCTACAGAATATAACCCAAATGCATCCATTCTTCCCTATCTACTACTACTAATAGTACTACCCTCTTGCAAGCCACCATACCCCTCACCTGGATGCTGAAGTAGCCTCCTAACAAGTCTTCCTGCTTCAACTCTTACTCCTAAACAATCTCACTTTCCACATATTGAAAAGTCTCTTCTTTAAAAACACAGGTCAGATTGTGTCTTCACCACTTGAAGCTCTCTCCTGGCCTTTTACTACAATTAGAATAAAGAACCAAATTTTGGGGACTTCCCTGGTGGCGCACTGGTTAAGAATTGCCTGCCAATGCAGGGGACACAGTATCAAGCTCTGGTCCGGGAAGATCCCACATGCCACGGAGCAACTAAGCCCACGTGCCACAACTACTGAGCCTGTGCTCTAGAGCCTAGAAGCCACAGCTACTGAAGCCCACGTGCCTAGAGCCCATGCTCCACAGAAAGAAAAGCCACTGCAATGAGAAGCCCGCACACCACAACAAAGAGTAGCCCCCGCTCGCCACAACTAGAGAAAGCCCGCGTGCAGCAACAAAGACCCAACGCAGCCATAAATAAATAAATAAACAAACAAACAAATAAATAAATAAAAGAACCAAATTTTTTTAGAAGCTATAAGGCCCTACGTATGTAACCTCATCAGTGGCTACCTTTCCCCACCTTACCAGTATCCCCTGTGCTTCAGCCACATAACTTCTTCATACATACCAAAGTTCACAGTCTTGGCCCTTGTTGTAACCTCTGCATGGGACATATTTCCTCCAGATCTCCATTTGACTAATATTTATCTTTCAGATTTCAGCTCAAGTATCATCAGAGAGGCCTTCGCCAACCACCTACCTATATTAGCTCTTATGCCATCACTCACTCTCACCCCCAGCACATTACTCGGCTTTTATTTCCTTCACAGCACTTATCATGTTGACTCATCTGTTATGTCCCCCAACTAGAATGTCAGCTCTGTGAGGCAGAAAGCCTATCAATTCCGTTCACCACTGTATCCTCAGTACTCCCCCTGCCCTTTCCCTGTCACTCCAGTATAGTGGCCGATATAGAATAGGCTTTCATCAAGTATTCAAGGAAGGAAGAGAGGAAAGAAGAAATACAGGGAGAAAGAAAGGAGTGAGCCATGAATATATAAAAGCAAAAGTGACAGTGAATTTTTCAAGGTTGATGTTTTTCTAAGAGAAATAGCTAAGGAAGAAGGAAGCTAAGAATTGAAGTTTAAGGGCGAACAAAGCACTGATGAATACTGAGTGGTCAAGAGTGCAGGCTCACCAGGCAGCTGCAAGGACAGTTTGACTGCCCTCCATCAAAAATATATCTGAAATGGTGCCCAATGCACGTCAACCACCTGTGAGATAACCTCTGCTATAGCATTTCAGAATGGAATCCTGTTTTTGCCTTGCTGAGTTACCAGCCTCCTTCCCTGTCTATAGGTTAAGTTACAACAGCTGGAAGCCTCCTGTGCAGACCAAGAGAAGGAGCTGGCCAAGGTAACCACAGTAACTTCAATGTTACTCCTCCCAAAGGAAGGGATACTCCATTCTTGGTCAGAGGATCTAATGCATTCCTCAAATGACTGAGCTATAATAAGGTTCTAGATCCCAAACCATTATGGGATCAGGAGGGTATGAAGGAAAGGAAGATGACTATAGTCTCCTAAGTTACCTTCTATTTAATATTTTTTATAGGATACACTTCATAATCTATATCTTCCACAAATTAGTATCTATTCTACTCCCAACTGTCCCCAAATAATCCCCAAGGGACTATAAAATATAGCTTGTTTACCCTCAAAAAAATTAGTTTATATGTACAAAAAAACATATTTAGAACAATTAGAAGGCCACATTTAGGGTCTGGTACACAGGAGGAAACAAGTATACTATTGTTCTTACAGCAATTCACTGAGAAAATTTAAGACTAATAAATTTTAGTCTCCCCAGGTAACAGAAGACTATGCACTTTTGGCCCAGCTCTGTGAAGATCAGGCCCTCTGCATAAAGGTACAGCCCTTCAGTAAAGGGACAGCAAAGGGTTTGTTCAGGTACAGGGTGAAATGGAACCAGGTTTTTCAGAGCATACTGTCTGGAACAATTTTAACTCTTCAAGGTGTCATTCCAGAGGGATTTTAGGGTCTATGACACTCCACCACCAATATCATTCTGTTACTTCCCTGGTCTCCCAGCCTCTGTGCCCTTAACTTAATAATGAACACTTTTCCTGTTTGTAATCCCAATTACCCCCAGAGACCTGTCCAATGGTGAAATATAGTGAGAGATCAGTAGTGGTGAGGTGGAGGCTAGGAAGGAGAAAAAGTGGCAGTGGGAATACCAAACATTTATGTTACAATGTAATAATGCATGTTTATTATGATTAGGAAAAGCACAGGGCTTTAATTAGTAACCGCGCTTTCTTTTATTTCTCTTTGAAGAAGTACCGGGAAACTTTGAAGAAAATAGAAGAAGAACTAGAGACTCAGTTCCTCGAGAGAGAAGTGTAAGCTTTGGCAAACAAAGGAACATCCTGGTTTTAGTGGTAACTCCATCTCAGCCTGGGTCAGAGCAAACATCTCTCTAATTCCAGTTTGGAATTATGAGGCCCCCAACACCACATATCTTTCCCCTCTGTAGTGATCAGGTCGACTCCCACTGAACCACACCAACTGTAAAACGCAGGTCCTTCCCCCATCCTTCTTCAAAGACTGTAGAAACACATCTCCCTTCATAGCTTTATCACGTTACCAATTATTTGGGTTTATATTAAGGGTAGGAACATGTGCTTTAAAAAGGGTTAGTGGTCAGGCACCTTGATAAGTAGAACATTCATATTAAACATAAATAAAAGCTTCCTTCCCCCAAAAAATACCCCTTGAGTTTGTCAAAAGAGTTTAAATGATGAGAAACTAAACCAAAAACCTCACTTCCATTTCTTGACCCTCTTTAGATGTTAAATCTTAATTCAGTCAAGAAGTATCTCTATATATTAAATATTTTGGAACCTTGTGGTAAAGAGAAAGAGACCCAAACTGCATAAAGCCTCTAAATAGGCAGGTACACAGGTACACCGTGGCCTTGTGTCCAAGACACTAGGACTTGGAGGTCCTCGCCCCTAAAGGATACCTTCAAGTCTCCCAAAATCCTTCCTGAGTACTAGGTGTGGCTTGACTGCTAAGCTAAGTTTCTAGAACAAGGCTATTCAACAGAAATTTCTATACTATCTATTAAGTATCCACTTGGCCACTTACTGAGTACTTGAAGAACAGGTAGTATGACTGTGGAACTTATTTTTTATTTTAATTAATTTAAATTTAAATAGCTACATGTAGCAACTGGCTACAATAGAATTAGAATATAAGACTGTTTTTAAACAACCATCATATAGTATGAATCTTTGAGGGCACTTTATCCAATCTCTATCTTGGTTCTTTTCCCCCTAGGTCAAAAGTCATAAGCATGAACTCAGCAAGCAAAGAGTGTAATGGCCAAAATAACAAGGTAAGCACCTACTCCATCTTCAGCTTCTTCAGTGTCATCACCTTTCAAAGGAGTTTCCAAAATCACTATAAGCCACCAAACATCTAGCAATCTTCCCATGTGGATTTTCCAAGAACAGTACCAGATATAATTCCAAAGCATTTCAACCCTAAACAAATAAAGAGGATGCTAAGGAACAGTTGTCTTCCCTCTTACAGCTGTGCAAATGATGTGTTCTCAAAGAAACCAGCCCAAGACCAAAGAAAGTTTAGAACAGAAGCGAGAAGGAACATTAACTGAGGGTGCACTCTGTGGAGAGAAGGCCAGTACATGACACATACACCACTCCTCTATCTCCTGTAATCACAGCACTTTTTCCTGATGATCCCAGCATGGTCCAGAATCTTTTACTACACAGAACACCAAGGGCATCTATCACCATCTAATCAGAGTTGGCCTATGAGTTAAAACATAGGAAGCAGTTGCTTCTTTATGATACAGCTTCAGTGTCTATTCATCTTTAACATCATGATGTCACCAGCACATATGCAAAGGTCTGAAGGAAACAGATGTGGATGTAGAGCCCCCGGCCTCTTGGCCTGCTTGGTGTCCTGTGGAAGCAAGTACATAGATAAAGTTTATTGGACTTTAATTGTAATTTATATTTCCTTTAGAGCCAAAGTGGACATTCAGCAGAAATTTTATGTTGTTGAGATATATGGTCTTTATAATCTCAGAAAAGAGAAGTCATCTCTTCCTTAAAAGCAAATATCAACATTTGACTATTACCCTTGAGGTGCTCCAGATGTTTGAATATGTTAGACCATTTCCACAGTGACTATAGTTCCCACTGTCCCGAACAGGTTATTCTGGTCCCAAGCTTATGTATTCCACTCAGCAAGCAAAACTCCTGAAATTAACTGAAGTCCACCTCTCTAGAACCAAGCTTGGCATGCTACCTGATGTGTCCCACCATCTATTCCCGGTGACTTATTAAAGTATTCCTTCTGACCACCTATCAGAGAAACAACAGGACTGTCTTCATCAAGATTATCAGAGTCCATGTGATGGTTCAACGACCTATGATGTTTGAGCAATCTCTTTAGAGAGGCTGCCTGAGCAGCTGACCAGCTAGCATGCCACTTAATCTCACTCAAGCTATAGAATCAAATTTGTAACCCAGAAAGCTGCTTTCTAATTCCAATTCTGCAAGCCTCATTTCCACAGTTTTAAAGTGTGATCATAATTCCTCTTCCTTTTTATCTCACAAGGAAGTTTAAAGGAAAATGAAGTAACTGAGAAAATAGTTTGGAAGAGGGATGTTACAGAAATCCAGGATATATTCTCATCTTTACATTTTTATAGCTTTCAAAATTTATCTCTTGCAATATGTTTGTGTGGTTTTTATAGCCTGTAAACTTCTCTAAGGGTCACTGGCTAAGTAGAAGGTAAGGGTATAGTTGAGAGAGCCCAAAATGTGAACTGAGAGGACCTGGGTTCCAGGCCTGGTCCTGCCACTTACAAGCTGTATGACCCTACCCTTCTAAGTCTTCATTTATTCCTATCAATATATAAAAAGGTAATGCAGTTTTATATATATATATATATATATATATATATATATATATATATATATACACACACACACACACATACATATATATACACACACACACATATATATATGTACATATATTTGGCTTTGAAAATTTCATCTGCTTATGTATATGAAAAAATTTGTAAAATTTTACCTAAAATGACATTTAATTAATGGCTCAGTACTACTTGGCAGTGCTAACAGAGTCCAGAAATTGTTTATTTATCACTGCCCTTTCTTCTTCTCCCAGGATAACTCTCTCCAAAAGAAGAAAACAGGATTCTGTAAAACGTAAGTAAATTCCTTTGAGTAAACTTCCCAGAAAACTGGGAGTTCTACTTAGCCATACTAGCAGATAGCAAAGTCTAGACAAGGAGAACATTGTATACACACACACGCACACACACACAGTCAAGTCAACAAATTTGTTTTATCAATGACTACATTTCTCAGTTCACTGTTATGACTTCCTTGTCCAAAGGCGATGACTAATCTCAGTTTTCCAGTATTAGAAGCCAGTGGCCTAGCAGTAATCAGAAACAGGAATCCTATCACCTAGAAGAGATGTGACAAGTGTCATACTTACCCCCTTTTCCCTTCAACACTTTCAACTAGTTTGATGTGTCTGGTTTCCCAGTAACATCAGTTGAGTAGAAATGGGGACTCCAATAAAAAAATTAGAAATAGAAAAACAAAAGAAATTTAAAAAAGAATAAACAAGGAGGGCTCTAAAAAAGAAAGAAAGAACTTCTGCAATATATGATAACACTGAGGCACCTTGAGGACATTATGCTAAGTGAAATAAGCTAGTCACAGAAAGACAAATACTGCATGATTCCACTTATATGAGGTATCTAAAACAGTCAAGTTCATGAATCAAAGTGTGGAATGATGGCTGCCAGAGGGTGGGGAGAGGGGGCACGGAAAGTTACTAATCCATCGGCATAAATCTTTGGTTAAACAAGATGATTAAGTTCTAGAGATCTGCTGTATAACATTGCACCTGTGGTCAATGATAATGTGTTGCACACTTAAAAATTTGTTAGGAAGGTAAATCTCATGTTAAGTGTTCTCATCACAATAAAATAAATTTTTTAAAAAACTTAAAAAAAGAAATGGGGAGATCCTTCTGTGGTTCGTAAGCATGAAGATTGGGTTTTTACACTATTGTGTGAGATGTGCCTCCCTCAAACTTTATCACAATGTCAGCACATTACCCCCTAATGTGAAAAATAAAAATAGGGAGAGAATTTCTAAATGCAAGTATACCACTGCCTTACAGCAGATAAAAGAGAGAGAAAATGATTGGGAAAAGGAGACAGCACCTAACAGTATTCAGCACATAATAACTGCTCAAAAATCTTGTTAAACCAAATAAGAACTCAAGATTCAAACAAATGAGTGGATATTAGTCCTTAGGGAATCACAGTGATAGCAAAGTAAAATTGGTATTGAAGCCCCTGCATTTTTAAGAAAAGGTCAAATTATGTTCAATATAGTATGTTTAAGAAGGCATAGAAAAACATATATTTAAAGTGGTATGAAATGTGATTTAGAAAAAGTCCAATCAAAATGGTTAACATAAAATTACTGGTGCTTAAAGGTCAGCTCCAACTGTCTGGAAAATTTGCTTAAGAGGGATACTCCTTCATACCAGATAAGTGAAGAATTATATATTTCAATATCCTTAAATACATGTTCCCAGAACAACTAGCAGAATTTTCCCTAGAACTCCTAGGCCACCTTCACCTATAATTCAACACCAGCGCCCAACATGGAATTGCCCATGTTCCTGGGATAAGGACTATCTGCCATAAAGAGAGTTAGTAAGCCCAGCAAGTCTAGCTCATCACATCAAACTACAAATGTCTTTCCTCTTGCTCTGATCCAGCATCCTTGGAGCACTGGTATACCGTGCGCTGATAAGAAATTAGAAAGCTAGGTTATTCCTAAGATTGTCCCTGGGCACGTCATCCCAGACCCTTCTCATGAATACTGTATCCAGCTTCAAGAAGAGTGGTGGGAAGAGGCTTTTAAAAGGCTTTTGATTCTAATTTTGAGCAAGATCCTGTATTAGAATGGATCCTGGCTCTTGTCACCAAGATTAACTCTACAGGAAAACTTAAGAAAACTGGAGGGGAAGGGGCTGGTTTTCTTTTTTTTGCGGTACACGGGCCTCTCACTGTTGTGGCCTCTCCCACTGCGGAGCACAGGCTCCGGACGCGCAGGCCCAGCGGCCATGGCTCACGGGGCCCAGCTGCTCCGCGGCATGTGGGATCTTCCCGGACCGGGGCCCAAACCTGTGTCCCCTGCATCAGCTGGCAGACTCCCGACCACTGCACCACCAGGGAAGCCCAAGGGGCTGTTTTTGACTGGTGAGTGGAGATGGGCCATGAATTTGTCCTGAGGCAGAATGCAGCCCAGCAGAACCAGATAAGGGTAATATAGCAAAGGCAACAGTGGAGGTTTGCTCGTGGAAATCATATTAAAACCACAAGGGCAAAATAATTTATCAGTTAAATAAGAAATCAAGACTACCATAAGGAAATTTATTAGGAAATATTAAAGGTAATATAAATGAAAGAAGAGAAATACCATGATCATGGATAGGAAGCCTTAATGTCATAAACATATCAATGGTCTCCAAATAATTAATAGAATCAGTTCAATTCCAATCAAACTCCCCAGAAGATTTTTCATGGAATTGAACAAAATGATACTAAAATATTGTATATGGGAGAGTAAATGGGTCAAAAATAACCTGGGCAATTTTAAAGAAGAGCAAGAAATGAGAAACATGCTCTTTGAGATATCAAGACGTACTGGGAAGCTACAGTAATTATGATAGTGTAGTATCATCAGAGGAATAGGAAAATCAACCGATGGAAAAGGACATGTGCTCAGAATCAGTGCACATATAGAACCTTGATATATGACAGTGATTATATGTCAGAGGGGAAAGAAAGGATTGACTGTTCAGTAAATATGGTGGGGAAAAAATGGTTATCCAGATGAGAAAGAAATAAGATTGAATTACTACTATACAGTATAACAAAAAAGCAAGCCCAGATGTGTTAAAGACTTAAATACCAATTTAAAAAAAAACCTACAAAACTCAGTATTAGTTATCTATTGCCACATAACAAATTACCCCAAAATTTAGTGGCTACAAACAACAAACATTTATCAACTCACTTTCTGTGCATCATAAATCTGTGAGCTACTTAGCTGGGTGGTTCTAGCTCATGGTCTGTTACGAGGTTGCCGTTAAGATGTTGGCTGAAATTACAGTCATTAGAAGGCTGGGCTGAGGCTAAAGGATCTATGTCCAAAGGAGCTTACTCACACAGCTGGTTGCTGGCAGGAAGTCTCAGTTCTTCATCAGATGGACCTCTCCACCAGGTTACTTGTGTGTCCTTATAACCTGACAGCTGGCTTTCTCCTGAGAGTAAGGAGGAAGCCACAGTGCTTTCAGTACATAGTATAGGAAATCACACACTGTCATTTCCATGATACGTTATTCTTTAGAAGCAATTCATTAGGTCTATTCCAAGCTCCAGTGGAGAAGAATCTCTCTAAGGAAGGAATACCAAAGAATTTGTGGACATATTTTTAAACTACCATAAACTCTTAATATAAAATAGTATCTTTTAGGCGTTGGGGTAGGGAATGATTTTTCAAACAAGATACAAAAAGCAGTGATTCTAACTAAAGGAAATGTTGATAAATTAGACTTTATTAAAAATAACTTTAGGGACTTCCCTGGTGGCACAGTGGTTAAGAATCTGCCTGCCAATGCAGGGGACACGGGTTCGATCCCTGGTCCAGGAAGATCCCACATGCCGCAGAGCAACTAAGCCTGTGCACCACAACTACTGAGCCTGCGCTCTAGAGCCTGTGAGCCACAACTACTGAAGCCCGTGAGCCTAGAGCCTGTGCACCTCAATGAGAGAAGCCACCTCAATGAGAAGCCCATGCACCTCAACAAAGAGTAGCCCACACTCGCCGCAACTAGCGAAAGCCTGGGCGCAGCAACGAAGACCCAGTGCAGCCAAAAATAAATAAATAAAATGCACATTAAAAAGTAAATAAATTTTGTTCTTTAACACCTTAGAGCAAGTGAAAGTTATAAAGCAGAGGGCAGATATTCAAAATACACACAATGGAAAAGGATTAATATCAAGAAAATATAAAGAATTCCTACAAATTAATAAGAAAAGCCCAAACAACATAGTAGATAAATGGGCAAGAGGAAACACATAAGATGAATAAACCTATGAACAGATGTTCAGCACCACCGTTCATCAAGGAAATGCAAGCCAAGACCATAATGAGATATTACTTTATACCCAGCTGATTGGCAAAAGTTTCAAAATCTGATAACATCAAATGTTGGAGAGGATGTGGATCCACAGAAACATAAACCCTGCTGGTGGAGTATAAACTGGTGCAACTGGGGCTTCCCTGGTGGCGCAGTGGTTGAGAGTCCGCCTGCCGATGCAGGGGACACGGGTTCGTGCCCCGGTCCGGGAAGATCCCACATGCCGTGGAGCAGCTGGGCCCGTGAGCCATGGCCGCTAAGCCTGCGCATCCAGAGCCTGTGCTCCGCTACGGGAGAGGCCACAACAGTGAGAGGCCTGTGTACCGCAAAAAAAAATTAAATAAATAAAAATAAATAAATAAATTGGTGCAACTACTTTTGAAAACAATTTTCCAAAATAAAAATAAAAAACAAAACAAGATAATTTCAGATAGTGATAAATGCTGAAAGAAAATTAAACATGGTGATGGGAGAGAGAGTAGCTGGCAGGCCAGCATATGGGAAGAGGCTACCTTTGTAAGGGGTTGTTAAGAGTAGAGACATTTGAATATCAAGGAGTCAGACATGCATTTAGATTATGACTATTTTGTTCCAGGTTTTCTAACCTCTAGTTAACAGTTTCTTGGCTTTCTCTTTCCAGGATTTTTCAATATTTCTTTTTCACCACCCTGTTTTTCATCAGACTGCTGGGCTACTTGTTGTTCCACATAAGTTTTATAAATCCAGATCTCTTTGTCAATATACTGCCCAAGATACTGAGCAGGAACATCTTGTGGAAGCTAAGATGCCTTCTCTTTCCATCTCTCATGCTTGAGACAGAGGACATGTTACCCCACTGACCCCCAAGAAATATCCTGGAGCAAAAGAAGGCAAGTGGTATCCGAGTCCGTAGACTAAGAGATGATGGAACTTGTGGAGGAAAGAGGTTTTCTTCAGTTATTTCCTTGAGGTTTTCCTACTTGATTACCAGCCCTCCTCACACAGTCTTTCCAAGATTAACCTTGCCCGGTAAAGAGCTCTGTCAATGGATTTCTGTGGCTATATGGATAAGCTAAATAGTACCAATAGTAAACAAAGCAGACTATTTTTGGAATAATATCATAAATGCTGAGCAAAATTAGAGCTGATCAATTCTTCTAGTGAATCTTAAAAATCTAAGACACAGGATCCCTGCAAAGCAGAAGATTGTTCATTACTTACATTAGAACTCTTTCGTTGTAAGTTGCCTTAGTTTAAGCTAATTTATAAATTTATAGCACACAAAAAAGTATTGCCTCATGGAACTAAAAATCTGGGGCTTCAGGCATGGCTGGATCCAGAAGCCTCAATGTAATGTCACTGGAGTTTCATCTCTCTCTTCTCATCTCATTGGATGGGCATTTTCCTTTTAGTGGGAAGATGCTGCCAACAGCCTAAGACTCATACTACCAGATTAGCATCCTTAGCAGAATGAAAGAGTCTTTTCTAATAGCTCCAGCAGGAAATTTCAGATAAACTGACTTAGTTGTGGTCAACTGTCTACCCCATCCCACAATCAATGTGGCCAAAGGGGTGGGAATACTCTGATTAGTCAAGCATGAATCCATGAACCATATGTCCAAACTCTTGTAAGGGGCAGGGGAGGTAAGGGGACAAGAAAGAGATAAGGGAGTCAGCCCCATGTAAACTATATGGAATGTGTTTCCCAAAGGAAAGGGGACACTCAATTCCCAGAGAAGGGGAAAGAGATACTGGACTGGCAAAAGCTGACATTCACTTAATCACTAGTTTTAGCCATATATATAAATATCTGACTTGGGCAATTAAAACTCAAAGCTGTAGCTCACTTCATATATCTTCTTACCAGTAAAAACTATAGCTTCTCAAGATCATAAATCGAGGTAAACTACTGCAAAGAGCTCAATATAAATATGTAAAGAACCAGGTCTCTAGGGCTAAAGTAAGCAAGGATTCTAAAGTAAATAGCACATGACATATAAACTGCTTCACAAACTTGGCGTAACCTAAATATGGTCAAACCTCCTATTTTTCCAATTAATTGCTGAACCATCCATGTGCCTTATTAACAGGATATACTCAAACTACCTCTTGAACTTTCCCACCCTCCTAACTGATCAGGACCCTTAACAGAAGAGCACAAAGGGGTCATTCTGGCTTCCACACTAGCAGGGAATTAACTTTAACTCTTTGGTTCACTGTCATGTCTTCTTGGGGCCACATGATGTCACTGTTGAAAACTGGTCCTACACAGGTTGATTAAATAATTAATTATCCAAATTGAGACATATCTGATAATAGAAAATGACACAATTATGTCAGGACAAGAGAAACTAGACAGGACTGTTTCAGCAAACCAGGATGTATTGCCATACATATATATATATAAAATCCAAGATCTCATTGACATGGTGTATTTTGCTGAGGCTGCTACGTCTCATTCTTCACTGTTAAGGGTGTCCATGCTCAGGACCCTAGCGCCACAGCTGAAGCTGCACCTCTCCTTCCTTTCACATACCCAGATGTATGTTCCAAGGTCAAGTTCCTAGAGGATTAAGATTGACTCCAGTTTCTGCCACCATCACCCTTGCCTCCACAGGAAGCCCTGCAGTCTGGGAAGTCAGACTACTCTCAGGAAACCCACCCTCTGGAGGTCAAGGGGTTGGTCTGAAGACTCAACCCTCAAAACACAAGGGCTCAATGATACCCTACAAGGGAGGCTCCAAGGTGCACACCTTCCCTTCCAGGCACTTCCCAGTGCCTGGGAACTTTTCTGAACTTCTGCCCCTTGAGAAGAGAAACATTCTACCACACACACTAAGATGTCTCAGCAGACCCAGACATAATGTTCATGATCATGAATTCCATTTATTAAGCACTTGTATCACGTGCCAGGCACTGTACTACGTAGTTCATGTGCATTATTGTATTAAATACAACCTTCAAAGGTAGATACTCTACCCAGTTTACAAATAAGCCAGTTCTGAGAGCAAATAAAACAACCAAAGTTCTGAGCTGAAAGAACCAGAATCTGTGCCTGTGTCTGGCTCAAAACCTTGGCCTCTATAACCTCTAATGTTTCTAATATTAATAGCAGACAATTGACCAGACAGCTGTCCAGGGAGAGGCTGAGGCATAGTCCAGAGTGGTGGGATATTTACCCACCTGTGAAGGGGGAAATCCCAGCCATGGCTACATTTATAGAATTAGGGAGACTCTCAGACAAATCATAGATTCATAAAATTGGCAAGGAATTTAGAAATTACTCATTCAGACCCAGTGAGGCCCTTTCCCCCAAATCACATAACTAGTTAGTGACAGAACCAGAATAAGAACTTGATGTCTTGAGTATTTTTCAGTGTCCCTTCTGGGAAACTACCATTTCCCAGCTCTTTACAGTCAGGCAATAATATAATGAAGATATTGCTGCAATTGTTATTTAAAACCAAAATCAACTGCACCCTCCTGTCTTCTAATGTAAAGGCATAATTCTTAGCTCTGGGGAAATAAACCTCTATATTTCTCTCCCTGTCCCTAACAGGGGAAGAGGAGAGAAGAAAGGGTGACACTTGGCATGCATGAACCTTTTTCTAGCAGAGTACATTAATAAATCTTGAGTTATGCAAAGTGTGCACTGTGGGGGAGTGATAAGTGCTAAAACTGAAATGATCTTCATAATAATGAAATACATGGAATTTTTATCATATCTGAGAGGAGAAGAAGCAGGAGAGAAAGCTAAACAAAATGATGAGACACTGAAATCCAAGTTGGTAGAAATGGACAAGGGACTTTCAGAGGACAAGGAAAGCTGATATTCAATTTTAGATTATTTTCTAATAAGTGGTGCTGCAATATATGCTCTTACACACTTACTTAACTGGCCAGTAAAATCTACCAGATATAGTTGTATATATTTGCCTCTAAAAGTTGCCTTTTATTGACTCCTACAAGTGAATTCTGGTAGAAAAGAAGCTGTTATCTCTCAAGTTTGAGTCAATGCTGAATCAGATATAAAGAAACAGCCATTAAGTTATAGAATAGAGAAATAACTAGGAGAAAAGATTTGCAGAAATCCTTAGAAAAAGAACAAAAGAACAGTACATGGAATATGGAGGATGGCAGAAAAGGCAATCTTAGCTAGTATCAAAGAGTAGGGTGGCTCCTGGTGACATCTACAACAGAGTGTAGAAGAATCTTCTATACCTCTTCTTTCCTATTGGTTCTCTCCAAAGAGACTGATGTCAAGGAGATTTTCCCCTATGTTTTCTTCTAAGAGTTTTATGATTTCAAGTCTTACATTTAAATCTTTTGAGTTGATCCATTTTGAGTTGCTTTTGTGTATTGTGTAAGATAAGGGTCCAATTTCACTCTTTTGCCTATGGATACCCAGTTTTCCCAACACCATTTATTAAAGAGACTATCCTTTCCCCACTGTGCATTCTTGGCATCTTTGTCAAAAATTACTTGACCAGGGCTTCCCTGGTGGCGCAGTGGTTGAGAGTCCGCCTGCCGATGCAGAGGACGTGGGTTCGTGCCCCGGTCCAGGAGGATCCCACATGCCGCGGAGCGGCTGGGCCCGTGAGCCATGGCCGCTGAGCCTGCGCGTCCGTAGCCTGTGCTCTGCAACGCGAGAGGCCACAACAGTGAGAGGACCGCGTACCACAAAATAAAAAAATAAAAATTACTTGACCATATATATGCGGATTTAATTCTGGGCTCTGTATTCTGTTCCACTGATCTGTGTGTCTGTTTTTATATGAATATCGTACTGTTTTGATTACTACAGCTTAATAATACAGTTTGAACCCAGGAAGTGTGATGCCTCCAGATTTGTTGTTCTTACTCAAGATTGTTTGAGCTATTTGGTGTCTTATGTGATTCCATATGAATTTAGGAATATTTTTTCTGTTTCTGTGAAACTTGCCATTGGAATTTTGATAGAGATTGCATTGGATCTATAGATTGCGTTGGGTAGTAATTCTTCCAATCTACAAACATGAGATGTATTTCCATTTATTTGTCTTCTTCAATTTCTTTCATCACTGTTTAATAGTTTTCAGTGTACAGGTCTTTTACCTCCTTGGTTAATTTTATTCTTAATTATTTTATTCTTTTTGATGCTATTGTAAATGGAATCATTTTCTTAATTTCTTTTTCAGAAAATTTATTGTTAGTACACGGAAACACAACTGATTTTTGCATGTTGATTTTGTATCCTGCAATTTTACTGAATGTTTTTATTAGTTTTTATAGCTTTTTGGTGAAGTCTTTAGGGTTTTCTATCTATAAAAGACCACGTCATCTGCAAAGAGATAATTTTTTTACTTCTACCTTTCCAATCTGGATGCCTTTTATTTCTTTTTCTTGCCTAGTTGCTCTGGCTAGGACTCCCAGAGCTATGTTGAATAGAAGTGGTGAGAGTGGGCACACTTGTCTTGTTCTTGATCTTAGAGGAAAAGCTTCTAGCTCTTCATCATTGAGTATAATGTTAGCTGTGGGCTTGTCATATTGGCCTTTATTATGTTGAGGTACAATTCTTCCATTCCTAATTTTTTAAGAGTTATCATGAAAGGATGTTGGATTTTGTTAAATGCATTTTCTGCATCAGTTAAGATGATCATATGGTTTTTGTCCTCATTTTGTTAATGCAGTATATCACATTTACTGATTTGCATATGTTGAACCATCCTTGCATCCCAGGAATAAATCACACTTGATCAAGGTGTATGATCCTTTTAATGTGCTGTTGAATTTGATTTGCTATATTTTTGTCAAGGATTTTTGTATCTATGTTCATCAGGAATACTGGCCTGTAATTTTCTTTTCTTGTAGATTCATTTTCTGGCTTTGGTATCAGGGTAATGTTGGCCTTGTAAAATGAGTTGGAAATGTACCCTCCTTTTCCATTTTTTGGAAGAGTTCAAGATGGATTTGTATTAATTATTCTTCAAATGCCTGGTAAAATTCACCAGTGAAGCCATCAAATCCTGAACTGTTCTTTGTTGGGAGAGTTTTGATTACTGATTCAATCCCCTTACTTTTTATTGGTCTGTTCAGAGTTTCTATTTCTTCTTAATGTAGCCTTGATAGTTTGTATGTTTCTAGAAATTTATCCATTTATTCTAGGTTATTTTATTTGTTGGCATCTAATTATTCATAGTAGTCTCTCATGATCTTTTGTGTCAGTGGTATC